GCTGTCCTCGGCACAGCCGGCGGCTCGCACAGGTGTTGACCTGGGGCCTCCCGGGCAGAAGGGCAGGCACAGCGTTGGGCACAGACAACACCAAAGCCCAGCGCCCAGGCCGGGGTGGCCAGGAGAATGGCGTTACCGCCGCCCACGGAGACCCCCGCGTGGAGCCGGGCTAGCCTGGCGGGCGACCAGGAGCCCCAGGCCTGCGGCAGCGCCAGCGGTGTCCAGCGGTGTCCAGCGGCGCCTGGCGGGTCGGCAGGCGGCATCCAGCCGGCGCCCAGGACCGCGGCCAGACAGGCCGGCAGAAGCGAGGTCACAGGCACCGCGCGGCCCACAGCCCCAGCGGCGCAAACTCTGAGGCCATCTCATTCCAGGTGGCCTGGCCCATCCTCAGGGACAAGCGCGACTGCGAGGGTCACTGTGGCCAATGCTGGGGTCGGGGGTGTTAGCGCTCTCTTCCGAACCTCCTGTCGCTGCCTCTCTCGTCCCCATTCCCTCCCCCTGCTCTGCTCTTTCATCTTCTCCTTCTTCTCCTCTGCCTCCCCTATTCCGAGCCAGCTCTGTGTGTGTAAGTCAGGGGCGGGGAACGTTTTCATGTTGGAAATCCGCACTGATTTAGCTGTAAGCAAATCGGGCCACATTCAAGGAACTTCAATTAGATATACTTTAAAATGTACATTATTTTGTCAAAACCTAACTACTATGTACTTAATAATTTCAAAAAATGGAAACTATCTGTTAACTTTAAAGTTAACTCACCTTTTAGACTTTGTCGTGTCTGCTTTTTGCTGGAAAGCATTTGAATATATGGCTGCAGCATGGAGGTCCACAGTTGCAGTTGATCCTCTCGGTGGGTATCAGTCGTTTGTGACCTTAAGGGCTTCTTGATTTGGGTGAGGTAGGAGGATGCAGATTTGCAGCAGTAAGTGGTGGAAAAGCAATAAAGCATTTTTCAGCATGTAGCCAAAGGCACGGGTATTCTACTGCATTTTTCCATATTTCAGTTGCATCTTTCTTAGCATCAAACAATGACTTTAAAATGTCATCTTCTGAGAGCTCCATCAGTTCCATCTCTAGTTCTTTAGGTGCCTTGGAATATCAACTAGGTCAGGCTGAAACGTTAATTAGAGTGTGATGTCATGATTCTCAAAGTCAGTGAACCTTTCATCGTGTTCTTCAATTAATAGGTCTGTAACAGCTGCGTATTCTTCAAATGATTCGCATATATCATCCTGCTGATCAATGACCTTTGCTAACTGGGGAAAATGTTCATCTGAAATTTCCTTTTGAAGAAGAAGTGTTTTGAAAAAAGATAGCTTTTTTTCAAAATGGTTGGATTTTTTGCAACACATCATATATACTTAGTTTTACCTTGCAAAGAAATATTCAAGTCGTTTTGATTTTACAATATATCACACAGAAATGCTACATTCCTATAAAAATCTTCTTTCAATAATTCACATCGCTGATTCTGGTCTTCATAAAATTTAACTATCTGTTCTCACAAAGATAAAATTTTGGCTAACACCTGTGCCTGTGATAGCCAATGCACTTTAGAATGATATGGCAAATCAACATTGAATACCTCATTGTTCAACTTTAGCATGTTACGGAACTGACAATACTGTGTTGCATTTGCATGAACATAGTTAACAATACTTATAACTTGTTGCAAAGTGTCACTTAAAATAGTAGCTTTAGCCCAGAGATTTTGCTGATGCAACATACAATGAAAAGACATGAAAGCATCTGGATCTGTTAATAGATTTTTTATCTGTGCAATAAATCCTTCATGTTTTCCTGTCATGGAAGGCGTGCCATCTGTACACACACTCATTAAATTTACCAAATTCAGTCCAACTTCATGACATTTATTTTGAAAGTTGTTGAAGATATCTCTTCCCTGTGTCACAAGAGTGCCAAAGCACTCTTCGTGAAAAGAAAATCTTCTGTTATGACCCAAATGAAGTATGAAACTTGCACCAAGTCAGTAGTATCAGTTGATTCATCCAAAGTGATTAACACTTATTTTCCTTTTGAAGTATTGCATGACGTTAAGTTGAAGGCTAATTCATGCTGCCAATCGGTTGTGGTTCTCCCTGAAAGAGGCAGTTGTTTGAACTGAAACATTGTAAGGGTCTAAGCATCCTACGACTGCTACAATTCAGTCTTTCACAATTTTTTCATCACTGGATGGCTTCCCTTTTTCCCCCCAAGTATGGAAGCTACTTTATAAGTTGCTTCAGTGGCATTATTTCCAGGTCTTATTGCTGCTTGAAAGAATCGTCTTTGCTTTTGCTTTTCATCTTTAGATTTCAGCAATACAACCTTTCTCGCTCCTCCCTCTAATTTAAAATATTTGGTCCTTATGAGTGTTACAATGCTGATGAGCACTGAATTTCTTTAATGTTGATATTGCAGTATCACAAAGCAAGCAAATCACCTTATCCTTAGCAGAAACAAGATAATATTGCAATTCCCAATCCTCATTAAAAAATCTGTTTTCTTCCTTCAGTGTTCTCTTGGTCTTCTTTGACATCATGGGCTGTTAAGCAGACAGAATTGAAAAATACTGTTGAGCTGTGCCACTATTCACGAATTCCACTTCACAGGAACATAATGCACCATTGTCAAAATCTGATAACAGACTGGCGTACTCAACCTCCCATAAACCCTCGCCAACCAGCCTCGTGCAGTAGTGGCACCAGTCAAGTGGGAGAAGTTAGAACTAAACCATGAGTATAGCGGCCATCAATTTAGCCCTTATGGGTTACTAATGTTCTAAGTGTGCTGGTCAATCTGGGAGGACTATTTCATTGAAACTTATTTTATTCTTTGGTACTTTAAATATGTTCATTTTAAAAATAAAAATATAAAAGATGAACAAAAATATATTAATAAAAATAAAAGGATTTGTTCTGTAAAATTTGGATTCAGTCAAAAGGCCACACCGAAGGACCTAGAAGGCCACCGCTGCCTTACACTATATCAAAAATGAAATCAAATGGATCAATGACCTAAATGTAAGACCTACAAATATTAACATAAAACCTTTAGAATAAAACATGGAAAATGTTTCATGATACTGGATTTGACAATGCTTTCTTAGATATAACATCAAAAACACAAGTAACTGGTCAGGTGTGATGGCCACACCTGTAATCCTAGCACTTTGGGAGGTTGAGGCGGGAGGATTGCTGGAGGCCAGGAGTTCCAGACAAGCCTAAACAAGAGACAAAAAATAGAATAATTAGCCAGGTGTGGTAATGCCTGCAGTCCCAACTACTCAGGAGGCTGGGCAGGAGTATCACTTGAGCCCAGAAGTTGGTGGCTGCAGTGAGCTATGATGATGCTACTGAACTCTAGCCAGGCAACACAATGAGACTCTGTCTTAAAAAAAAAAAAACAACAAAAAAAAGAGAAAGTGGATGGATAGGAACAGGCTGTTCCCAAAAAAAAAAAAAAAAAAACAGGTAACAAGAGGTACAAATAGATAAATGGATGACAGTTAGCTTTTGGTATCTGTAGGGGGCTGGTTCCAGGGGGATTGGTTCTAGGACCCCGTGTGGATACGAAAATCTGCTGATGCTGATGTCCATCACGTAACACTCACGTCCATCATATAACAAGATGTAGTAGTTGCATATAATCTACACACATCCTCCCATATACTTTAAATCATCTCCAGATTGTAACACCTAATACAATGTAGATGGTATGTAAAGACTTGTTATACTGTATTGTTTAGGGAATGACAAGGGAAAAGAAGTCTGTACATGTTCCGTACACATGCAAACATGCTAAAGATGCAAAGATGCTTTTTTCCTGAGTTTTTTTTTTTCTTTCTCTTAGGTACATACCCAAATTTCCCAAATATTTTTCATCCGTGGTTAGTTCATTCCACAGATGTGGAACCCACAGACACAGAGGGTCACTTATACATAAAAGTTTCATCAAAGGACACAATCCACAGAGCAAAAAGATACCTAATGGACTGGGAGATAATTTTTAAAAATCACATATTTGTAAAGGGGTTAACATCCAGAATACATAAAGAATTCCTACAACACAACAAAAAGCAAGTAATCCCATTTAAAATTTTTTTAAAAGACTTTAATAGGTATTCCTCCAGATATACAAATGCCTAGCAAGCACATGAAAAGATGCTCAACATCATTAATCACTAGCGAGATGAAAATGAAAAGCACAGTGAGATTCCACCTCACACACAATAAGATAGCTGCTATCCAAAATAAAATAAAACCAAAAAAATCAGAATGAGGAAATGAACAATGTTGACGAAAAAGTATATAGACTGGAACCCTTAAGTACTGTTGGTGAGAATGTAAAATGGTGCAAGTATGATGGAAAACAGTTCCTCAAAAGGACCTTTCAAAAGGTCAAAAATAGAAATAGTATTATATATAACCCAGCTTCTCCTTTTCTGAGTATATACCCAAAAAGAACTGAAAGCAGGGTCTTGAACAGATATCTGCACACACATCTTCATAGCAGCATTATTCCCAACAGCTAAAAGGTGGAAGTAATCTAAGCATCCATTGGCAGACGAATGGATAAAGAAATGTGGTACATACATACAAGAGAAAATTATTTTACCTAAAAAAGGAAATTTTGATACATGCTACAACATGAATGAACCTTGAGGATATTATCCTAATAAGCCAATCTCAAAAGACAAATACTGAATGAATCCACTTATATGAGGTACTAATCAGTATCAAATTCACAGATACAGAGTGTAGAAATGTAGTTACCAAGAACGGGAACGAAGGGGGATGAAGAGTTGTCATTTAATGGCTATAGAGTTTTGTTTTTTGCACGGTAAGTTCTGGAGATAAGTTGCGTAAAAATAAGAGTTTACATAGCACTGCTGAAATATCCAATAAAAGTGGTTAATGGCAAATTTTCTCCGTTGTGAAATCGCTGTTATTTAATGGGGCTGGAGTTTTACCTAAAGAACTCCCCACATTCGTGGAGCACACAAGCCTCTCTTCATTGTGGATTTTCTGGTGATGAACCAGGTGAGACTTTCTAATGAAGGCTTTCTGGCATTCACTGCACTCATAAGGTCTTTCTCCACTGTGAATCTTCTGGTGCTCATCAAGTATATGTTTGTGGCTAAAGGCTTTCCCACATTCTCTGCACTCATAAGGCCTTTCTCCAGTGTGAACTCTCCGATGTCTAACTAATGTAGAGCTGTACCTAAAGAATTTCCCACATATGTCACACTCAAAAGGCGTTTCTCCAGTGTGAACTTTCTTATGTCTCATAAGTCTATAATTATACATAAAAGATTTTCCGCATTCTCTGCACTCATAAGTCCTTTCACCACTGTGAACTGTCTGATGTTTCATGAAGTTGGCACCATATCTAAAGAGTTTCCCACATTTGTTGCACTCATAAGGCCTTTCTTTTGTGTGGATTTTCTGGTGTTCGACAAGTAAATGACTGAAGTTGAAGGTTTTCCCACATTCATTGCATTTGTAATCATTTTGTCCAGTTTCAAAGAATTCCCTGTCCTCTGTGTCCCTGAAAGGCTTCCACCCACTTTGAGGGGGCTGGTGCCGGAGAAGGACAGAGGTGGCCGGCAAGTCCTTCCAACCCTCACTGTGGGTGAAGGTCTTCTCTGCCATGGGAACTCGGTGGTTCTTTTCAAATGAAGGTCTCCAATTGTCCCCCCTTCTGGAAAGATTCTCTCCAATCTTCTGCTTTTGGTGCTGAAAAGGCTCTGCCTCACAAATATACATCTCTTGCTCAGGAAGTTTTCCACTGTGCTCAACCAGGTACAAAATGTCTTTCAAGCGTGGGTCACACGTCTCACTGGGCTGGATCCTCCGGGTAGATACATGGGGCACTGGAGTTGTGACCTGTGACATTCCTATAGAAACACCTTGCTCTGAAGAAGGTGCCTCCACATCCTGGGCTCCTTGCCAACAACCTGAAAGCAGAGGAATGCTGCTAAAGTGCACGTTAACTCTGGTGGCAGGAGGCAGCCCCAACACAAATGCATGTCAGACACACCCACAAATAAGGCCATGGGATTGCTGACAGGCAAGGACACTGAGGCCAGTGAGAGGAAGATGGGCTGTGCAGAGCTGGGCGTGACAAGCGCCCAAGATCAGGAGCCTTGACAAAGGGTGAGGACGCGAGGGAAGGGTGTAGTGCAGGGAGGAGAAGCGGGTCTCCAACTCCCTCCTCTGCAAATGGCCAAGGCTGTTGGTGACTGGTGAGCAGCGTGTAGGTTGTGTCCAGACCCAGAGAAATCCAATATTACCAGAGGAGCTGGAGTTCAAGGACTACAGCGGGACCCCAGCAACCTTGTGACACCCCAAGTACAGGTCACACTTTGGAGGGCACTGCAAAGGGCTCAGTGGAAGAGAACAGGTGAGAGGTGGTGGCCACAGAAGTGGGGGCTGTGGGATGGGAGTGAGGGCAGCCAGGGGCCAGAAATCATACTAGAAATGACAATGGGCAAGAAAAACTAGAAATGAGGTGTAGCAAGGGCCCTGCTATCAAACAATGGTGAGCACAGGACAGGCACCCAATGTGATTTGAACCCAGCTCTGATATCACATCTTTTCCCAACCCCCAGGCACCAGGGCCATGTCCCTTTGAGACTTTATTGCCAATACTGGAGTAATACCCGCCCTCTCGGGTACACAGGGCCCTCCCCATTGCCCAAGGTGACAATGTCTGGGACACAAAAAAGGCCAGTCCCGGGGAAAATACAGGGAAAGGGAGTGAACAGCACATACCCAGAGAGATCCACCCCGTGACATCCCACAACCTGTAATCACAAGAACTTCACAGAAGAGTCCTGCAGAATCAATCCAATGGCCCTCAAAAGTAGTGACCAGGTCAGTTCCTGAAATTCCTGGCAGATAAAAGTCACCAGCAATATCAGCAAGAGCAAGGGGATAACCTAGAACATGGAGGTTGCATACATTTGGACAGACTAACCAGACCAGGGACACAAGGCTGGTGGGATCTGCATGACAACTTCAAGATTTCTGACTCCTGAGCCCTTTCTTGTGAGTCTCAGACCAGCAGGGAAGGAGGGTGGTAGGAAAATGGGGGCACGAGCACACAGCCCAGCCCTGGCTCCCACAGCACATGCACCAGGAAACCAGGAAAGGAAGCAGCAACACCCATGGTCTCACCTTGGGAAAGGCAGAGCTGCACTTAGGTAAAAGGGGGAAGACACAGGCCCACCTGGGATACTGGGTGGGTATGAGGGCCTTACCCAGCGAGGACAAAAGTGCCATGTTCTCCAGCATCACGTCTCGGTACAGTGATCTCTGAGCCTCATCAAGGTGCCCCCACTCCTCCTGGGAGAAATATATGGCCACGTCCTCAAAGACCACACGGCCCTGCCAAAATTAGAACTGTTCAGTACATGAGCCACTTGGCCAATTGTGTTTACTGAGATGTTAGATTTTCTATTCATCTATTTGTCACCCATTAAATACAGAGCCAGGCTAATAGTCAAAATTTGTTTCCATCTCCCCTGCCATCCAGAACCCATACTCTGAACCACCTCCTTATCTAACTTTCTCAGACCAAGTCAATATTTCCTTTGTCCTAAACCAACCCAGGGACAGGAACTGCACATCTAGTGGCAGCCCCTGTGCCTCAGGTGTGCTGGGATCGAACTAGCCAAGTTTAAGTTGGTCACCCTGCCCTGCCTTGTATTTCTCTCAGGAACCTTAACAGAAGCCACGGCCCAAGCTCTTCCCTCACTCCTGTCTTCTGCCTCCTGACCAAATCCAGTGCTTCAGTGGCCATGTGGCCTTGTGTTAAGTGGTGTGGTCCCTCCTTGGAGATATATAAGAAATAAATATCTTCTTTCAATGTCATTGGCCTGTCCCTGTTGTCATTCTCACACCCATAAATTAAAACCCCATGGGCACGATCACTGCTCTACATCTCTCTCCAGGACCTCAGTCCCTCTCCCCAACTTCCCCATGCGGAAGAGATACCAGGTCCTGGTGGCATGGGTACCTTTTCTCGCCACGTTTCCAACCAGTTTCCCTGAGGTCCATCAGATCTTGCCTCCCAGAAAACCAAACTTGGACTCATCCTTCTCCCTAAGCGCCCAGTGCTGGGACTGGGGGCCATCCACTCACCCTCCTCCTGCCTACACATCACTCTGTGGATGGCACCTCTATCACGTCTCTGGACTCTGTGCATTTCGACAGACACTTCCCACCCACATCACAGGCATTTCCTTCACCTCCAAACAGGATACTCAGCACATGGAAACCAGGTGGTGCATGGCAAATACATCCAGCATCCAATTCAGCCCGTCCTTCCCAGAACACCAAAGTCCCCTCATGCCAGACGTAGCCCAAAGCCCTGCTTTGAAGGTCTCCCCACCTGTTGGTTTCTCACTTTACAGTCAGCCACCCAAACCATGTGAGGACTTCACGAGGTACTCTTGGCCATCTCTTGCTTCTGCATTACACATTCTGTCCCGTAAGCAGTGAGGACAATTGTTCTCCATGGAAACTTCATTCAAAGCCCGGCGACACTGACCCACCTACATCTACACCCTTGCCCCACCCCAGCCAAGGCTTAGCAACTCTCCTAACTCATCACGTTTTCCTCCTCAGCATCCCTGCCATGTCTACTCTCTCCTCAGAAGCCTTCTCACTCCTACACCCCACCATCTGGAACACACTCATCCCCACAAACACTCAGCTCCCTCATCTATCTGGACTCCTCCACCACCATCCACATGCTTCAGCAGAGAGACCTGGTTCTCTGCCCCTCATTCCCATCCCTTACCCCAGAAATGCCACCTCCTAAATTTGATCCACAGCCTTCATTCCAGTCCACACAACAGCTACCATGTTGTGGATGTCTCCAAACTGAACTCCTTCACTAGGAGTCTCTGGAACATTCATGATATGGACAAAAACTGACTCCTCATTCTCTGAAGATTCCTCATATGTTGAGTTCTCACATCTTAGCTGATGTAGTATCTATCCTTCTAAACAAGAAAAAAACACAGGGCCTTCCCTGATTGCTCTCCCGTCCCACCTCCCTAGCTCCCACACTCTTATGTCATAAAATGTCGACAGCTCTAGTTCAAAATTCATCCCAAAGCCAATCATTCCTCTCACCTCCACAGCCACCACTCTTGTCCAGCTGCCACCAACATCCACCAGGACTGACTCAAGAACACCCTCCCAGGTCTCCCTGCCTTTACCTTCACCTCCACAGTCTGTGCTCCACTCTGCAATCAGGGGGAGTCTCATAAATCTGGACCATATCACTGCCTTCTTCTGCTTCAAATGTTCCCTGTACCCCACCACCCTCAGATTGCAGGCCCAGAACCTCAGGCTGTCATTCCACTCCTGATGTCTGTGTGCCTCTAGCCAACTCCCTCTCTGCTTCCCATTCCTATCAGATGTGAGACTTGCAGTTCCCTGAAAATGACAGCTCAGTCTCATATCCAAGCACTGAAACATGCTGAATCCTGTGCCCAGGACACCCTGACACATCTTACCACATCAGTGTCAAAAATGGCACCACTCCATGTAACCCAGGACCAAATTTAGGATACTGAGCCTGGTGGAATTACACAGTCTTCAGACATAAGAGAGGGAGAAGAACAGAATAGGGTCTCAGGACACCAACTTTCCTTATATTGGGGTGCCAAATCCATCCAGGATATAAGTAGGGTAGGTGAAAAGTAGGAATCTCTCTACTCACCTGTGCAGGTTTCATTTCTGCCATCACCAGGGCACCCTGAGGAAACAGAGAGGCCATGAGAAATCGGCGACCATCGAAGGATTCTGCAGGCTGAGATGGACCACCTCCCTTTTTGCCTTGCCCTGCAGCAAGCGGATCTGAAATTGACTGCATAAATTCAGCTCCTCAGACCTCAGTGCTGCCTTATAGCAGCTCCATACTCTGGAAAAGAGCTGAACCTCCCTGAGCCTCAGTGTCCCCCTCTGCAAATACAGGATAAGAAAATGTCTCTCACCTCATAGGGCTCAGTTTGTATCGAACATTAATCATACATAATACATATCAGCTATTATATTCCGAGAATTAATAGCTTTTATACATGTTTTCAATGTAAATGAAATAGTAGAGTTTTGAAATTTGGGGGTATATTTTTGTCTTTTTAAGATTTTAGAGAACGTGATATTAAAATTTTCCATGGAGAGCAAACACTTAGAGATAAAGTAACATCAAACCAATTATGAAATATTTTTAAAAATTAAATTTACTGAATAACTTTGTTACTAATTGCTTACCAATATGTTCATATTTAGAAAGACATTGGTTAATTAGGGTTTAAATCATTAAGTGTTTTACACATTCTTAAGTTAACCGGTTACACAGAGGGGCTGAGCAGGCAGGTCAGCTACTGGTCCTTTCTCAACCAAGCCTGCCTGCCTGCTACATAATCCTCTGAAGGGAGCTTGCTAGGGGACATTGATTAGCATAGTAGATCATCCCCTCTTATCTGACATGAGGAAACGGGGAGGAAGCCATGCCCTGGTCTGCAACCCACCTGCTCCACTAGCCTGGATGGCCCTTCTCTTGTTCCACAGACAGTGGCCCTGAGAGTCAGCCAAGCCAAGTCTAAGCCAACTCACACCTCAGTCTCCATCCTCAGCCAGCTCCTTACCCCATCTCGGCCTCCCCTTTTTGCAGACACAGGCCAGAATCCTTCCTATGACAGGTGTGTGCCTTTCAAAAGAGAGTATCAGGCTTATGCACCCACCCATGATCTGGCCCACAAGTCTCAGCCCTCCCCTCCCTCAGCACAGAGCTCATCTGCAATAACGACCTTTACACTCCCCTACTCAATCTGATCTTCAGCCCATGCCCTGGTCCAGTCCACATCCTCTAACCTTTTCCTATCTCTATTCCAACCCTCTTCCTCAGACTGCAGACCTCTGCGTCCACCTGCCCACGTGACGTACCCATCTTGACACATTTGAGAATCACCATATCCGAAATCCAACCCAAGATGGTCTCCCCGAACCCTTCTCATTATGCTGACTTCCACAACTCTATTCTTTCAAATGTTCAGGAAACAAAACAAAACACAACCAGCCCTTGGGATGGTTCTTGACACTCCCTGTTTTTGCTCACAAGAATAGCTGCTGCTCTATCTTTCAGATCTACGCAGATCTAATCACATCGCCTCTCTGCTAACGACACTCTAGCCCAGCCCCGACCATAATTCTCCCGGGTCTATTGCAGTGGGCTCCTCATTGGGCTGCCTGTGTGTACTCCTCATCCTCTTTTCCCAACTTTAAATTTCTAACTCTGGGCATGCCCCTCTCCTCCGCCCTCCCTTTGCAACTTTCCATGGCTACCGGCTGCTCAGGTTGACATTCCAGCTGAGACTCCACCAAAGCCCCTTCCTCTTTCCTGCACAAACAACAGCCACCCCGTGTTCCTCAACGTGGTCGAAGCCGTGGCACCCGCGAGCCTTCGCACGTGCCGGCCCCGAAGGGAACTTCCTCCCACACCCCGTCACAATGGCCGAAACGGGGGCCCCACACCAGAACGCCCCTGTCCACCGAAGGCAGCGGCCGGTCCTGCGGTGACCGGACCGGGGGCCCTGCGTCCCGGCTTCGGCACTCGGAGGTGGGGCCGGGCCGCGGAGGGCGCGGTAACGAGCACCCACCTGAGTCGAGCTCACCGGAAAGAGCGGGCCTGGGAGTGGCGGTAACAGGGGTACAAGGACACGGCCGTTTCCAGCCCCTCAGCTGGGCCTCACGCCCGCCTCTGTGCAGTGGAGACCAAGCCACTTCTCGCGTTTTGCCGCTCCGTCACCTCGGTGACATCTCAGCCCTCAAGAGGCCTAGGAGAGCAACCAAAATGGCCGCCGCCAGGAACACGCCGGAAGTCCCGCCCACGCCTGCGCATGCGCGTATGCGTCCCTTCATAAGCTCTCATTGGCTCAGTCCCGCCTCCGCACACCGCAGGGTCTTCTGGGTTATGAAGTTTCCACTCTGCTTGCGGACGCGTCTTAGAGATTTGATGTCTCCGTACAGGTGGATAAAGGCCCCTTTGTTCCCTGAGGGACTTTGGGAAACTGAGGCCCGTACTCCGAAGATGGGACCGGGCTTAGGTTGACCTTAAAGGAGAAGTACCCAGATTTTCTTGGAGCGCAGTCTAGGATACTCACAGAAATGTGGGGGACCTGTTTTTTCAGACTGTGAAGCAGAGCAAATTCCCAAAAACTCACATCCTAAGGGACACACGATACCCTGAAGGCACTCTGTGTCTACTCATCCTTGTCAGCTACCTTGTTGCTTTTCAAACACACGAAGAGTTAAGCTTTGGAGTCTGTTTAATAAGCTTCAATATGTTTGGTCCAGGAGAAGAAAGAAAGACTGTGGACAGGGCCATGCCGGAAATTTGCAGGAAGGACAGGACTTACTGAAGTCGGTTGAAAGAGTGAAACTCTGCCTCTCCTTGCAAGAGAAAATGTCTTTTGAGGCTATATAGTCATCGACTGTGTTCCTACCAAGAGAGCAACACTATTCAAATAAGGGGTGATTGATCCTTATACAGATTCTAGAGGCCCCTGAAGAAAACAGTATGTTCAAGGTTTTTGAAAACACGTTATAGGACAAATGTTGAAAGAAATAAATATATTTAGGTTGGTGACAGAGGGGCCCAAGAGAGATGTTTCTTAAAATACCCAACGAATTTCTTATCAAAGAGCAGAAGAAATTTTCTCTAAGAGCCTAGGAATACGACTGTCATTAATGATGATTGGTTGCTCAGTTGGGAAGGCAGGGGCCCTGGTCCTCTCTCTGTCCTTGTCTGCTTCGCTTCTTTGGCACATCACCTCTTGGTGGTTCTGCTGCAAGTGGCCACCTGTCTGATCCCCCCGTCTCCAAGTTCAACACTAGGAATTTTCCTACACAGAGTGTTGTATCATACCACATCCCTGCTTTGCAATCTTCAGTGGGTCCCCTCGGCCTCCAGAATAAAGTGGAAATTCCTTACCATCCCTACATGACCCTCATCACTTGGAATATCTTCCTGTAAGCCACCTCCTAGATTTTCATGTCTTAATGTTGTGTATTGTAAGTTTTCCCATTCATACATTTTTGTGGATGCTTCCAACAGCCCTTTCCCTGATGGGTTGTGGATTTCATGCCTTCCTTAAGCAAACCTCCTTTGTGCCAAGATTATAAATATCAGCATATTTTCATTTTCTAAATAGTTTACATTTTTAAAATTATATGTTCAAACCAACTAGAATTTAGTTCTGTAAAAAGTGTATCAAGTTCTAGCTTTCTTTCTGAATGAATACCCTATTGTTCTTATGGAGGAAAGAGTATTTTTTACAGCTGGACTGAAACAATTCTCTGCTTGTCTCTGGGGATGTCTAAATATTTGGCTTTGACTCTTGGTCAAGATAAGTGCAGCGAGATTTATGAGTGCTAAGGTCTGAAACTCCCCTGCACACCCCAGGGGCACGTCTGGTTACTGACAGCTTTCGCCCAGCATAGAGTGTGAGCCAGCTTGGCTCTGGTCATGTACCCAGAGGGGCATAAAAGGCCCTGCTAGGAATTCGTACTCGAGTTATCCTAGATCCAGGAAATGCAACGTTGTTGCACGAACGTTTGTGGTTCAATGTAGAGATGAAGCATGTCCCTTTGTGAATAGGGATCCCAGGCTCTTGCGCCTGGAAGTCTCCTGAGGCTCCACCACTAGCCTGCACCCTCTACTGTACCTGCTGCATCCTCCTGTGACTGAGGGTGCCCTGTGGGTTCACGTCAGTCCTTTTAAACATCAGAGCCTGAGTAATTGTTGCTGTCCCAATACCACCTTACATGAAACTCCTACATCATACTAAACCCTCATTTTTGTTTCTGGATTCTCTGTTTTACTCCACTGATCTCTTTGTCTTTTTCTAGACAAACACCACTCTCTGTTAATTATCAGTTTTAGGTATGTTTGGTATTTTATAGATTAAGTGCATTTTCATTGTCTTTTCAGTTTCTTCTGCAGAATTCCCTTGACCTCATTCTTCAACTTCTTTTCTTCCAGCTGTCATTCATAGAGGATTTTCTTAGGTGTCAGGATTGCAGAAGGTTTGCTTATTTATCAGAAGAAAGTTGCCATCACACAATATTGAATTTGCAATAAGGTATGTCTCTTACTTCTTTTGTGTCCTGTTTTAAATTTTCTTCATAAAGGTCTTACAATGTCATAGCAGATGTATGTCTATATTTATTTGTGTGTGTATAAGGAGTTGGGCCATATGGTGTGTGTGTGTGTGTGTGTGTGTGTGTGTGTGTGTGTGTGTAAAATGTGTTGCATGTTCAAATTTTCTATTTCTGGTCTGATTTTTCACTTGCCTACTTTATTTATCTCTGTTAGTAGCTGTCACCGTCCCATAATTATCTTACCCAGAAAACTTGGCTTTTGTTTCTTTGGGACAAACAAACAAAAATCAAAACTAAAAAAAAATTCAACTACTTTCTACAAAAAGGGTTTGAAAACCAATAATAGAATCCAATCCCCTCAATTTATTTGGAGAGAGGGAAGCCCAAAGAGTAGCAATGTGCTTTCTCAGGGTCACAAGTAAGCTGACCCAGCATCCTATAAATTTAAGGTTAGTTTGTCTATAATACATTTTATAAATGTATAATTTATTAAGATATCTTCCTCATATTTTCATAGAAATTGAGTTAATTCTGAGATTAATTTGTTGAGAATTGGTATCTTTACCATGTTGAGTCTTACAGTTCATGAATACA